CTCTGTCAATCTCTCCCATTTTACACCTGAAAAACCTCTCCTTGGATAAACAATAGTTTACAGATTTTTAAAAGACTGTGGTGAAGGGCAGAAAAGAGATGTAGAAAGATAAAATTACATGTCTGTATTACACGTCATCACCAGTAACCAGCACAGTCCCAGATTTCTATTTAAAACAATAGATAGACTCATCAACCCTGCTCCCACTGCCTTGCCAGCCTCTTCAAATGTTGACTGTGAAAGGTTTTTTTCCTTTTTTAAACAGAATTGCTGACATTAGGTCCAACATTGCTCCGACTACCTGTCCCGAACTGCTCAGCCATTTTCAGCTCTTCCTGAGCTGATCGATACTGTGTCTCATATGTATCCTCTTCAAGCCGTCTTTACACTTTACCCACGTCACTACTGAAAGAGGTCACGGATGCCATTGACCCCAGCCTACTTCAATACTATCAACTGTTCCCTCACATCTGGCTGCATCCCTAATTATTTCAAGCAAGCCAATATTCAGCTGTTATTGAAAAAGCCTAATCTTGACCAATCACTAGCACAGAATTATAGGCCCATTTCTAAGCTCCCTTTCACATCCAAAGTTCTGGAAAAGGCGGTGCTAACTCAGCTCTTAGTCGTGTTGGTTTGACTGAAGTTCCAGTCTGGGTTCTGCAAACGACGCATTACCGAAACCGCTCTTATTAGGGTTGCTAATGATTTATTGATGTGTGCTGATGCTTGGGGATATTCTATTTTATTGCTGCTCGACCTCAGTGCTGCGTTTGACACTATTGATCATAACAATATCAATGGACTACATCAGTGTTTGGGTACATCAGGGAATGCTCTTAAGTGGTTTGATTCATATCTCTCAAATAGAGAATTTTCGGTTTGTTTTTTCTGTCTCATCTTCAGCTCCACTAATGTGTGCGGTGCCACAGGGATCCATTCTTGGTCCAATTTTGTTTTCCCTCTATATTTCCACTAGGAAACATTCGGGGCACCTCAATTGAGTGTTTGACTGCTATAAAAAAATGGATGACTTGTAACTTTCTGCAGCTAAACTCAGACAAGACAGATATACTCTTTGGTTCTGATCATGTATCAAGCAAAATACAACCGCTCATCGGTCCACTGGCAACCAATATAAAATCATCAGCAAGAAATCTAGGTATCACCTTTGACTCCCAACTGAACTTCAATCAACCCAAATAGTGAATAGGAACTTTTTATACAATTCTCAGTCTGTATTATGTATTTTCTTTATTTTTAACAATCATTCATACTTAATATGCTTCTTTTTTGATAAAGCCAGTGTTTCCCTGATGCATTGTTCTATTAGATTAATACATTTCTAATGCAGGACGAGGCTGTTAATCAGAGAGTGAAGGCTCTGTGAATATTACTTTAAACTTCAAAGTTTGGATCTTAAATAATAAAATAAACTTTAAAAATAACAATATTATTTCATTTTTCTCCCATAAATGAACAATATTCTGAGATATAAGCCTTCAGTGAATATTTTTAAAGTTTCCTTTCACCCCTTAAAATCAAAAAGAACTTGTGACCCTCTGTGAAGGTTTGGCGACCCCTAGGGGCTCCAAACCTCCAGGTTCCCAGGCTGGATGACCTATATAAACAGATAAAACATCAGCAGGAAGATTGGCTATTTCTATATAGTTATTCTTAATTCCTACCACCGGGTCAAATTTGCCTTGAAATCAGTGAAACCAGGCAGTATAACTACCACTTTTGTCCACAGGGGGCACTAGAATCAACACAGAATGAAAGCTCCTTGTTGCTACTTAAATTTCTTTTTGTTTGTATTCCAACCAGCTCTATTTATTTACATTTATTTATGTCCATTACCTCGTCTTGTTTTCAACATAAAAAGACTGTTAAAATACATTTGCAAATCTATAACTTTTTATATAATACGCTGTTTATTTAATAGATTAAACTGTTAAATTCAAGTTTAATACAGTTAATACATTTCTACACTGATGTAAAATTAGTGACAATTATCCTCAGAACGTTTTAAGAACCAACAATTTCTAGCTGGCATGTTGCTTACAGGTTAACGAGGCATTAAACGCTGATGAATCTCCACTGAAATCTGACCTCATCAGATCCAAAATCCAGCATCTGAAAGCTCTCAGGACTGAAACCAACACTGATCCTCCAGAAAAGCTAATTTAAAAAACACCCTCACTCCTTGTTTCTTTTTATCAGATTCACTTTCTCTATATTAGTTTTACGATCCGTCATTCTGCCATCGTCTATTTTTCCTCATCAGAATCATTTCATCTCTCTCTGATCCGCTCTCTCTCTTACATATGAGAGAAAACACACACACACACACACACACACACACACACACACACACACACAACACACACACACACAGACATTGGGGCTTAAAACCCTGAATGACTGACTGGACTCACAGTTGTACAGACGTCTTTAAACATGATCAGATTCAACACAGATCATAAATATTTTAAGTTCAGGGAGATGAGTGAGCTGCTGAGGGACTAACAGCTGTATTTCTATACATATGAGGACATAATACTATCTCTCATACTCTAATACATACTGTATGAACCCTTAAAAAAATGTCCCGACTTTCCAGATCAGTTCTAACTGTAGAAAATAAAAAAATAAAATGTTCTGACTTCTCGCTACCACTGGTATTTAAGTGCCCCCATGTTAGAAAACGTGCCCTCTTGGATGCCTCTATGGAAGATAAGTGCCCTCTAGGAGAGTGTTTTTCAGATGGGGGTACTGGTAGCCCTGGGGAGTACTGCAGGGGGTACATCAGGTTTCTTTTTTTTTAAAGCTGCAGTAGGTAATTTTTATGGAAATAATTTTTGTCATATTTGCTGAAACTTTCACTGTATCCTGACAGTAGAACATGAGACAGATAATCTGTGAAACAATCTGGTTCCTCTGGCTCCTCCTAGTGCTCCTGATGGTATTTGCAAGAATCCACCGGGCCTGAATGAAAACAACCAATCAGAGCCGAGAAAGATAAAGCAACACTTTGGGTTGGAGGCTTGAAGACAGTTGACTGTTGAGTCTCATGTTCCCAGTGTTTGTATCTGACGCCCTGGGAATGAGACTACACAATCAACTGTCTTTTCTTGGCTCTGAAATAATAATAATAAAATAATAGGCTTATTTAGTTTTTTAGATAAGGGGGTACTTGGCTGGAAAACTATTTCAAAGGGGGTATATTACTGAGAAACATTTGAGAACCACTGCTCTAGGGTCCTCTAACCCTACAGGTGGAGAAAACATGATGAAGTGTCCTCTGGGGTGCCCTCTTTTATTTTTCCACTGCTTCCTACTTCCTCACTTTCCTTACGTTCCCTCTGAAGTGGCCCTCGAGAAGACAGATGTACACACACACACACACACGTGTAACAGGAATAAAACATGTCCAACAACAACGTCTTTCTGCTCTAATGTCTTCTATTTTCTTCTTGCATTGAACCCTGAAAAGCTTTTTGTTGCATCACCGTTCTCTTGGTTTTTTTCTTTCTGTTCATTCCTCCAGCTCATTCTGACCAGAATGGACCGTATCTAAAACCAATCAATGCTGCGCCACAAGCAGCCATAATTATGTGTACATATAAGGCTCCAGAGGCTCTTTGTCCGCAGCTCCAAATAAATCACAGTCATTTGAAAACAAACCACCAGCTCTGTGTTGAACCTACAGAGTCTCTCCACCTGCAGCCTGAACGAAGCTGCAACCACACACAATGTCCTCTGTGTTACACCTGCTGGGAATTAGACGTCCAATATGGCGCCATTCAGTTTAACAGCGAGTTGAAACAGCTGCAGTTCGATTCGCCATCACAACGAGAGCAAAGCGTCCTGCTGGGACCGCTGGACGTCCCCGAGATGAGAGAGCAAATCTCACTGATAATGTTACTGTGGGAGATTCCAAACAGCTCAAAGCTAGAAAGGATCGCTGCCCACGCTCCCGGTAGAAACCTCCTGAACCATCAACACTGAAGGAATCCTAACCGGGAGAAGCTGACTGCAATGACCCCCTAGTGGCATCTACTCCTTTTACCCCCCATAGAGCATTAAGCATGATGATTTTTGGGATAATGGAAGAAGTCAACTACATATAGAACATAGAGGTAGAGTTTATACACTGTTTAATGAGGACGTGTTACAGATTATAGCTTGTGGCTTTAAATACCGTACTACATGATCGTTACCTTGCAGAGACGAGGGGACGTTGTTGGGGACGATGATGATGATGATGATGATGATGATGATGATGTGATTCAGCTGGCAGCACATTTAAACTCACACTGTGAACATCGGAGGAATAATGATATGAACCTGAGATCAGGAAGAAGTCCGTCATAGTTGGGGTGCTGAGAGAACTCTATACAATGACGGCTAATGACTGCTAAATGCATTCTGGGTTTTGTATTAATTTGAATTATTTATTTATAGCCTATTTAATAATTATTTACACACATTTTACACAAATGTTATAACTTTTTAGCGAATGCAACCTCTTTCCTCCCATAAATACCACTGTACATGCAAATTCAGTTAAACCTTGGTTTCAACATTTCGTGAACTGATGCCTCAGCACTCCTTCTTCCATCTGAGATCAGTGCTGAAGGAAGTTTTTATTTCCAACACCCCACAGAGTGAAGTACAGAGTGTGGAACCAGGCTCTCCTTTGGCTCTGTCATTGGCTCTGGAGTCTTACTGATGATGCATTCACTGTCCGCAGCAGTTTACAGCTGCAGTGACTCAAAGTTCACCTAATCCTAATAAAAAGCCACTGTATGCTCACAGAGACATTTAAGATCCCTGTATGGAATAAAACTACAGAGGAAGTCACTGAAGATGACTCTATTGGAGAATATTACAGGAATATTATAAATATAATATGCTGTGAATATTAAAATAAACTAATTAAAAAGTAATGTAAGAACGACAGGGAGGGAAAGAAAACGAGGATCCACTCGTCCTACCTGTCCGCGCTGAGCGCCGTGAGCGTGAACACGGACACGCCGACCGAGGTGAGCTGGATGACGGGGATGAGTTTGCACGCCGCCTCGCCGAACACCCACTCCTCGGAGAAGTAGCGGAACGCGTCCACCGGCACGCAGGTGACCAGCAGCAGCAGGTCTCCCGCCGCCAGGCTGGAGATGAAGATGTTGGGCACGCTGCGCATGGCGCTGTTGGTGATGAAGATCTTCACCAGCGTGATGTTGCCCAGCAGACCCACGGTGATGATCAGGATGTACACCGAGGTCATGACGCAGCGCACGGCGAAGTGGACCGTCTCCACTCCGTCCGAGGACGCCCACCAGCCGGGCTCCTCGGTGGCGTTGGGGCTCAGAGAGTCGGAGTCTCCGGGCAGGCCCGGGGGTAAGTTGGACAGGAAGTCGTCGTCCATCGCCCTTTGCTCTGCGGAGCGGGAGATCCAGAGAGGAGCGCTCCGGCGGGGACCGAGCGGGGAGGGGGGCGCAACGGGATGATCCGCGCGTAAAGACGCAATGGCAGCGGGTTGTTTTACTCCGATACAGCCAGCGCACAGAGAAAAGTTTTCTAACTGTATCACACTGACTGACTGACTGACTGACACACTGACGGACGGACGGACGGGTGAGAGGCGACTGACGCTGGGAAAGAGAAGGAGGCACTTTGACACTGCTAACATAGACTCTCTCTCTCTCTGTGTGTCAGAGAGAGAGAGAGAACAGGAGGGAGGGAGGAACCAGAAAGCATATAGAGTGAGTTTGGATAGATAGACAGACAGACAGACAGATAGATAGATAGATAGATAGATAGATAGATAGATAGATAGATAGATAGATAGATAGACAGACAGACAGATAGATAGATAGATAGATAGATAGATAGACAGACAGACAGATAGATAGACAGACAGACAGACAGACAGACAGATAGATAGATAGATGCAACAGATACTGGGGACGATGGAGGGAGAGACAGCGGACTGAAGGCTGGTGGAGAATAAACCAGTGCTGTCCAAACTCTTCAATATTCATGATAAATTAGTGGCCTGTGTGTGTGTGTGTGTGTGTGTGTGTGTGTGTGTGTGTGTGTGAGGGAGATTTGGTTCATTTTTATGCATGAAGCATAATAGTTTCTTTCTAATTGCATGTTGGGAATGAATCTAAAATAAGTGGTCTTTCTGTTTGGAGCTGCTCAGTTTGTCCTTCAGTGTGAAATCCAGCAGGGGGGGGGGGGGGGGGTAGTAGTAACAGATTACAAGTAAAAAAGTATTTTTTTAAGCACAGAGAACTATTAGGAGCTCGTCTAGATGCCAAGTTGTCGCTGCCTGGAAGAAGAATCGTCTTGATGATGAGTGGAACTTTGAAATGTGTGTTTTAGGAAGCACTTAAGCTAACATAATGCTAACTTCATCCTTGATGTTACTTTCATAATTGACCCTTCTTAAGTCCCGCCTTCTCTTGCTCCGTGCTCCAATAAGAGTTGAGCAAGCCCCCCCCCCCCCCCCCCCCTCCTCTCCCTTTATATAGCGATGGTTTTCCCCTTATTTTTTTTTTTCAGCAGCCAATCACTAAACAGGTGCTCAGCGAAGAACGGCACCCACCTCCTGCTGGCTGCGTGTTGTAAAGCAGAAACTCTGTGTGGAGGATAAAAGCTTTTCAATGACTTCTTTTCTTCATAAATGTCAGAAAACTTCCAGAAAACTTCCAGAAAACTTCCAGAAAACTTCCAGAAAACTTCGATCTCACAGCGACATTATCATTGGATTCCCGTTTGTGGTTTTTTTTGGTGGAAATTACGAAAATAAAGTAGTAATTTTATGAGAAGTGTCAGCCTGTTGGCTCAGCCAGTAAAACTGTTGAACGATGAAATGATCAATACGTTATCTTACCTGTCGACTGTACGCTACGACTGAGACAAACAGCAGCTGCTGGGCTCAGGCTGAGGCTGCTGATTGGTTGAGCTGCTCACGTCAGATCTTTATAACTCTATCGAAGCTTTTTTCTCATTAAAACGACTTTTACATTATTCTCGCATTATTACGACTTTATTCTGATAACATTACGACTTTATTCTGTTAACATTACGACTTTATTCTGTTAACATTACGACTTTATTCTGATAACATTACGACTTTATTCTGTTAACATTACGACTTTATTCTGATAACATTACCACTTTATTCTGTTAACATTACGACTTTATTCTGGTAACATTACGACTTTATTCTGGTAACATTACGACTTTATTCTTTTAACATTACGACTTTATTCTGTTAACATTACGACTTTATTCTGATAACATTACGACTTTATTCTGGTAACATTACGACTTTATTCTGATAACATTACGACTTTATTCTGGTAACATTACAACTTTATTCTGTTAACATTACGACTTTATTCTGGTAACATTACGACTTTATTCTGTTAACATTACGACTTTATTCTGGTAACATTACGACTTTATTCTGGTAACATTGCGACTTTATTCTGATAACATTACGACTTTATTCTGATAACATTACGACTTTATTCTGGTAACATTACGACTTTATTCTGATAACATTACGACTTTATTCTGATAACATTACGACTTTATTCTGGTAACATTACGACTTTATTCTGATAACATTACGACTTTATTCTGGTAACAGGTAACATTACGACTTTATTCTGGTAACATTACGACTTTATTCTGATAACATTACGACTTTATTCTGATAACATTACGACTTTATTCTGTTAACATTACGACTTTATTCTGGTAACATTACGACTTTATTCTGTTAACATTACGACTTTATTCTGATAACATTACGACTTTATTCTGGTAACATTACGACTTTATTCTGATAACATTACGAATTTATTCTGGTAACAGGTAACATTACGACTTTATTCTGATAACATTAAGACTTTATTCTGATAACATTACGACTTTATTCTAATAACATTACGACTTTATTCTGGTAACATTGCGACTTTATTCTGGTAACATTGCGACTTTATTCTGATAACATTGCGACTTTATTCTGATAACATTACGACTTTATTCTGGTAACATTACGACTTTATTCTGATAACATTACGACTTTATTCTGATTACATTACGACTTTATTCTGATAACATTACGACTTTATTCTGTTAACATTACGACTTTATTCTGGTAACATTACGACTTTATTCTGTTAACATTACGACTTTATTCTGATTACATTACGACTTTATTCTGATAACATTACGACTTTATTCTGGTAACATTACGACTTTATTCTGTTAACATTACGACTTTATTCTGATTACATTACGACTTTATTCTGATAACATTACAACTTTATTCTGGTAACATTACAACTTTATTCTGTTAACATTACGACTTTATTCTGGTAACATTCCGACTTTATTCTGGTAACATTACGACTTTATTCTGGTAACATTACGACTTTATTCTGATAACATTACGACTTTATGCTCGTAATTTCCAAAATTGTATGTATTTATTTCTTTCTCTTTCCTGTTGGTATGGCCCTATACTCCGTCGCAGTAAGTGATAACTGACAGAAGGTCAAACGGTCAGAGGGAACTGATGATTCCTTTTACCCACTCCACTTCAGATACACCTCCCCGAACACATCCTGCAAACGCCTCAGATGCATTTTAAAGACACAAGAGTGTGTCAGTGATCGGGTTTAAAGCGCTGCAGGTAGGCGACGAACCGGATCCAGGAGTCCACACTGACGGGCTTATCTTCTACCAACACACTTTCCTCTTTCAGAAACACAGTGGTTTACTTTGTGTGGATTAATTCAGCGTATCATTAAATGTCCAGGTTTCCTACACGTCTCCGACTCTACAGGACTCTAATCCTGTATGTTCCCATCACTATCAGGTTGTAGAGGGACACAGAGAGGAGGGAAACCCACAAATACAAACAAATATATCTGTTATCTTTCCCCCGTTCAGACCCGAGAACTTTATTTGGTTTGATGCTTCATATTCCAGTCGGCCCTTCATCATCATATTCAGCACTTAATAAAACACAGAAAGCGCTCTAACAGCTCTGGGGTCAGCTCGTTGATCTTTGTGGTGACTAATCGGATTCAGCGGGCTGATTCATGACTTCGTTTTTACGTTTTCCTTACTTCCATTTGTCTAACTTTAGTCCACCGGGGAGGTTCTGGACCATCTGGAGCTGCTGATTGTGGCGCTGAGCACAAACAGTCTTTAAGAGTTGAGCGTGCCTCTGCGCGTGTTGTTAGCAGTCACAGATGGCGGCGGCGTCCTGATAGCGAGCCACGGCTCCACGGGAAGTTCATAACTTTAAAAAAACCCAATCTGTCTTTGTTGATCAGATGTATGTTCAGATAGATCGTTTATAATATTTAATATACCTCTAACAGCAGAGTGCACGAGGAAGACAGGTTCAGGGTTAGAGAGAGAGACACAGAGAGAGGGAGAGAGAGACAGAGAGAGAGAGAGAGACAGGTTCAGGGTTAGAGACAGAGAGAGAGAGAGAGACAGAGAGAGAGAGAGAGAAAGAGAGAGAGAGAGAGGGAGAGTGAGACAGAGAGAGAGAGAGAGACAGGTTCAGGGTTAGAGACAGAGAGAGAGAGAGAACAGACAGAGAGAGAGAGAGACAGAGACACAGAGAGAGGGAGAGAGAGAGACAGAGAGAGAGAGAGAGAGAGAGAGACAGAGAGAGAGAGAGAGAGAGAGAGAGAGAGAGAGAGAGGTTCAGGGTTAGAGAGAGAGAGAGACAGACAGAGAGAGAGAGAGACAGGTTCAGGTTAGAGAGAGAGAGAGAAACAAAGAGAGAGAACAGGTTCAGGGTTAGAGACAGAGAGAGAGAGAGAGACAAAGAGAGAGAGAGAGGTTCAGGGTTAGAGAGAGAACAGAGAGAGAACAGAGAGAGACAGAGAGAGAGAGAGAGAGAGACAGAGAGAGAGAGAGAGAGACAGAGAGAGAGAGAGAGACAGGTTCAGGGTTAGAGACAGAGAGAGAGAGAGACAGAGAGAGAGAGACAGGTTCAGGGTTAGAGAGAGAGACAGAGACAGAGAGATAGATAGATAGATCAATCACAGGACTTAAACCCAACTTATATTAGTACATTAATATATTAATATATTAGTATATTAGTATATTAATATATTAATATATTAGTATATTAATATATTAGTATATTAATATATTAGTATATTAATATATTAATATATTAGTACATTATTATATTAGTACATTAATATATTAATATATTATTTCAGTTTATTAATCATCACTAATGTTTGTATTTATGTGATTGTCGTCATCAGTCAGTGAACATCAACTGACCTCGGATCAGACCTGTCAGTCGGCTTGTGTGTGTGACGTCATCGCGCCGTCCCCTCTGCCCGCGGGCGCCTTCACGCACAGAGCTGCTCGCGCTGCTGCGGGGCGCACGGCCGGCACGAGCCAGGCCGGCACGCGCTGGCCGCCAAAGTCAAGTCAGACACAGTTAGTACGGCATGCACCGGAAGCCCTGTGGCCAGACCTTCAAAATAAAAGCACAAACTCCCCATAACGATGATTATATGGGAAAACGACCCTCTCTCATCCCGAACATTTTACTGTGAAAGGGGCGCGAGCCTCAAACATAGTCAGATTAACACTTGGTCTAATAGTGCTCATCAAAAATGAATCGGTCTATAATGACACTGTCATTTTTGATTTGTTGTAAAAACATTAAAAACATTTTGAGGATTTGTATGAATTATTTTAGCTTCGATCTCTTAATATATAATATGTTTAAACATTTACCCTCTTTTCTTTATTGATTTATTGCATGCTTATGTCATTATTTTAACAAAGTGGAGACTTACTTTATCTTTCTTTTATTAATATTAAACAGCAGCATCGATCTGTTTATGTGTCATATGGGATCGTTCACTCTTTGTCTTATTCCCTCCTCTTCCTCAGATGTTCATGTCTCCGGTTTCAGGCTTTTCTTTGTCAAGCTCCTGTGTTTATTTTGAAATCTGCGACCGGAAGAGCTCCAATCTGATTCCGTCGGGCTTGACTCTGCTCTCTGTCCCGCAAGGTCCCGCAACTGGCATGAGTTTAGGATCTCTGAGTGGAAAAAGAGGGGGGAATGAACAACACGCCGCCTGGATTACGGTTGGTGTGTGGACTTCCATTTTATTTCACTTTGTCCAGTTTTGGCTTTTGGAGTTTGAATTTGGATCGGTGGGGGTTTTCTTTCTGTGTTGGTGGCGGGTCGCCCAGGGACTGTGTGTGGGACAACAGCAGCTCTTCCAGAAGTGTGTGCAGTGCAGGGTGTGTGGTTTTTTTGGGTTTTTTTTTTGACCTTTTTTGACTTTTTGCTTTTCCTGATGGTGATTTAGTCATGTGTCCACGTAAACAAACGCCACAAACCCAAAAAGTAAGCCTTGTTTCAGAAAGTAAATGATTTATTTATCACATTTAAACGTTGATGATTTATCAGAAGTAATCAGTTCTAACAGGTGCTTTTTTCAAAATAAAGCTCAAAATAACCAGAAAGGGTTCAGCTGAGCTCCTTTACCCAACCGGCTGCATTGTATTTTTGTTGCATGTTTGCCATCTCTCTCCGCATTGTGTGTGTGTGTGTGTGTGTGTGTGTGTGTGACAGGAGGTAGTTTTTTCGCTGACATAGTTCTATAGGGATTATAATGCAGGGACCACATGCCCCCACAGGCCATTGTTGGCCCCACTGTCTCTGTTGTCCTTTTTCTACTGAGTGAGTCAATTGATGGAGGGATAAAAGGCAAAAAAAATATGCATTGACATGGGCTTTCAGGGCAGAGAGAGAGAGAGAGCGAGGGAGAGAGGGGTCAGTTGGAGATTTTGTGGCCCTACCGTTGGTGGCCTTTAACTGGTGCCAGCAGCAAACCGGCCATGAGGGCCCAGAGCAGCCCTGGAGTTAAACAGCGGAGAGCGACGGGCCAACCATGTCTTTGAACTACATCAAGAACTTTTATGAAGGATGCGTAAGTAGATCACAAAGGCTTTTATTGTTTCTGTCACGCGGGGCCCGGCTCGCCGACACTTTTTACCTTTCAGGGTTTGACAGGAGCGACGTCGAACAATTATTCCTCCTGAGGCTTAAAACAGAAAGACATTGATCTGTTTTCGTCCTCATCTCCCATTACCTCCGTCTTCATGTAGCAGAGTGACATATTTTAAACCCGGAAGGCTCCTAGCTTTGTGAGGGTGTCATTTGGGGCTTTTTTTCCGGTAAACACGACTGAATGTCAGTGTCAGAACAGAGCAGGTGAAGAGAGGAGATGGGAAATGTTTCCTCTGAATGGGTTTTGTTTTAGCCTTCAGAGCTCTGGGCCTCAGTGAGCCTCGGTTACGGCTGCATTTATCTGGCTGACAAAAGCTATTTTCTCTTTGTCTCTGACTGTGTGTGTGTGTGTGTGTGTATCTGTGCACATTTGTGTGTCCGTGCCTACGTTAATGTGCATGTGTCATTGTGTAATCGGGCCTGTGTGTGCCGTTCATACTTGCTTACCTGTGTGTGTGTGTGTGTGTGTGTGTGTGTGTGTGTGTGTGTTCCAGCTCAGGCCTCCTACGGTGATAGGCCAGTTCCACACCTTGTTCTTCGGCTCGGTGCGGATGTTCTTTCTGGGCGTTCTGGGCTTCGCCGTCTATGGGAATGAGGCGCTGCACTTCAGCTGCGACCCGGATCGCCGAGAACTCAACCTGTACTGCTACAACCAGTTCAGACCCATAACACCTCAGGTAGGACTGAACTAAAGGTACACCTGAATTACACAGACACTTTGCAGCCCTATAATATTACAAATAGGGCTAGGCTTAGCGTTTGTATCGCCTGATGTGCTGGCGAATAAGTGACTAAAGAAGTAACTAATAAGTAAGTAAAGAAGTTGTAATATGTTTCAGATGATATGATTAGGTAGATAGATATCAGGTCCTAACTCTGCAGGTAGAACTAAATGAAATTGAACATGTTGTATCATATCAAGTAGCTAAACAAAAATTTGACCCATAGTATAAACTTAAGCTAAACTCTGCTTAAGTAAAATAAAGTCAGACCCATAGCACCACAGTTTACCTTCAGACTATTTGGCTAAAAGGTACAACCCAATCACACAGGAATGAAACCCTCTGGTGCAACCACGCCAGTCTTCCAATAAAATAACGAGGGTATAATGAGCTAAAGTACGCTAAAATAAGAATAGCTAAACTCCCTATAGCTACATACGATAGCTCAGAAATGAACATAGTTAACACAAACAAATGAAAATAGAAGATACAGTATCGTATATGCATCAGGTAAATTCCACCAGAGGCATCTTTAGGGACAATGTGTCCAGTCAAAGAAAAGCATTTGCAATCAGAAAATAGTCTCAGGCTGTGATCAGCGTGACGGTTTTTCCTCATTGGTAGAAAATGCAATCTGTGCAGGTGAAACATTTCAGCAACCGTTGAACTTGGCTGGGTTCCTGCCATCCTCACTTACCAAAGACACAAACACCATCTTTTATTTACCTGCATCATCTGGATGGCCAATTTAAAACCAATATGTGATGAAAAATTAATCTACAAATATTGTTTTTCCTTTATTTATTCTTTTTCTCTCAAACTTTTTCCTTCCTTTTATCCCTCTTAGCCACAAACGTTTTTTTCTTCTCTCATCCACTCCACTTCTTGCTGTCTTCCATTATTGTCTCCTTCCATTGGCTTTTCTCACTCCTCCCTTTCCTTCTTCCTGCCAACTCCAGGTGTTTTGGGCGTTACAACTGGTGACAGTGCTAGTTCCTGGGGCAGTGTTCCACCTTTATGCAGCCTGTAAGAACATTGACCAGGAAGAGATCCTTGAACGACCCATCTACACCGTCTTCTACATCATTTCTGTTCTTCTGCGCATCATTCTTGAAGTCATTGCCTTCTGGCTACAAAGCCACCTCTTTGGCTTCGAGGTATGTTCATTTTCTAATGATTTCAAATTTGATGAACTCTATTGAGTGTTTTTCCGTGTTGGACTTATGCATCCACCCACAGTCATTGTAACAAAAGGGCGCACAAGAGTATCCATTACTGTGCGACCTTCTCATGGGGAAAGTTGCTCCTGGGGTTACCATAGCTCTCCTTGGTCAACCAGGAGATGTAATCCTTCCAGCATGTCCCAGGTTGCTAGGTTTCCCTATTCGTATACCTGGAACACCTGTGAAGAAATCGGACCGGGGAACACCTAACCTAACTGTTGTTGCACAGAACCATCTGGGAAGTCGTTGTTGGAAACTGAAAAAGGGCAGGCACTTTCAAAAAATACTTGTCAGGTGACTGAATGAACCATTTATCTATCACCGTCTCCCATGGGTAAATTTCAACCAATCAGATCAACAAACCATATAACTTTTAACGAAGTCTGTCGGCAGAAGAGCAAGAAAAGTCTTCAGTGCAGAGAATCACTGGTGTCTTCTCTGAATCAACAATGAATAAGCTTGGTCATCCAAAGAGGTGGATAGGAGGGTACTACAAATTCATGCATATCCATGATATCAGCTAGTGGTGGTGGAAAATGGCCACAGTTGGATCTTTTAGTTGACATTTTTCTGCCAGCTGGATGGTGTCCCAAAAGCTCTTTGCTGTTCAAGATGATTCCTGAAAAATTACTGTTTCCTTCAAAACCTTGCAAAATAACCCCATATTACAACTCAAAATAGTAGCTTTGAGCATGAAGTGCCAGGAGAAGTTTGACTGTGTTGAAATACCTGATACTGTTACACACCCATTGTCAGAATGGGTCAAGATTCACATGGAACATTTTAATTTTGAATGCAGCCATTGCTCTGGAGTTGTGATCCTGCCCAGTACATGCTAGTTACAGCTAGGACCCAACTTGGTAGGACCCAACTAGAGTATCAATATTAGTATTCAATAATAAGACTGAATGTTACCCCGAAAAAATGCACAGTGTCGTCTATATAAATCAGAGGGACATTTAAGTATTGTACAATGAAAGCATTACCATCTTGTGTGTCTCTTTTTTCCCTCAGGTCCACCCGCTGTACATGTGTGATGCCAGTGCTTTGGAAAAGACTTTTAATGTGACTAAGTGCATGGTTCCCGAACACTTTGAAAAAACCATCTTCCTCAGTGCCATGTACACCTTCACTGTGATCACCATACTTCTCTGTATTGCTGAGATATTTGAGATACTCTGCAGACGGCTTGGGTATCTCAACAACCAATGACACATACACACAAGCACACATAAAATGACTTAGGGTGAAAATACTGTATATGACACTATTTCTGCCAGTTTTTATCAATCTCTTGGTTAGGTACTGCTGGACCTTTATCATACAGCGAGCTAACGTAAGAGCACAACCTCACCTGTGGTCCATTGTGAGTCAGTTGCACCAAGAAATTTGAGAATGTGCGACAGTGTCATAGCTGGCAAGTCTGAAATATTTTCTAGGTGTTTTTTTGCCCTTAATGATAGAGTGATCATCCCTAGTTGTATTTCAGATATCAGTGGGTCTGTACTGGCTGTGTCCAAGGGTCTTGTATGGACGTGGTGGCCAGAGAATATGTTCCTCTGACTCTGAACCGTTGGGGGATGGGATAGGATTTCTGGTTTTCTTCAGGGTGCTACTAAAATCTGTGACTATGGTCGAATTAGAGCACAAGGTTAGCCTAGTTTGTCACAAACCTGGTGGCCCATAACAGTTTGAGGGTCCCTAAAACCCTGTTCTTGGAGTTGTACCTAAGATCTGATACTCTTACAGAAGAAACGCCCTGGAAGCATTAGCTGCACATATGTTTGCCGTATGCTTAAGGGCCTGGTGTGCACTAAATGCATCAAGATTCATCAAATCAACGTCTTCTCTGAACTTTTACAGTTTCGGAAAGCTTTGATGAAAAAGCATTAAGTCTTCATGTTATGTAATAACAACCAACAATGCAACAATAATTTAGCTAGTCACATAATTCTGTATAAAAGTGCATAGTCTGGCTTGTCTTCCAAGTGCTGATCAAATATGACAGGCGGACTATAGAACTGGCAATTGATTATCACTTATGTCATTCTTCAGAAACTGCGATCCAGTAACCTTACCCATGGGCGAGTGAATTGCAGGTGCCATTGCTCCTGACACTTCCATGTGTGACAGTTATTGCTTCCAGCCCGTTCTGACCTTTCTTTACATCAACATGAGCGCTTCTGATGGGGTTGTCTTCCATATCAAATATCTGTTTGAGCTTGGTTGGTCTTGAGCAACCTTCAACTTGACTTGTAGAATTGAGGATGGTTGTCTCCAACAGGCCATTTATTTCATGCGCCAGAAAGGATAAAACAATAGCTCAGTTTACTTCAATGCATCTTCAAACAGCGATGTATTTTGATGCTATCACTAAAAATGGTTGAAATGTAGTGTTTTACTCTTTGCGGGTAAAGATCTCCCCAAAGATACAAAATTAATTTAAAAGGGGTTGATGTAATAATCTAAATTTATAGTCTAAAGGATCAGTGATAACTATCATTTGAATTTGGGTATACAATTGTGTTGGGATGAAAATATATTTAACAGTACTACAAGTTGCAACGTCTTTTAAGTATCTGAAAAAATCATCAACTGCCAGTAAGAAGAAATACTGCACATCTTTTGTGCTTAGATTTTTAATATAATTGGATGTCTCAACATCCAAGGTGAGACTGAAACAGCTCTTGATAAAATATCACTGTGTAGTGAAGTTCCTAACAGACATGGACAAAATCAGAATAGAAATTTGAAGTTTTTAGAGTTTCAAGGCCCTATTGGTCTCATATATAATGTTATAACTATTATTTTTATGGATGAAAAGCAAAAGTGCTCATTCAGTCCAGATATATTTGAAATGATGGTTGAGCTTTTGTCCATGTCTGATTCTCAACCATCTCCCCTTAACCCCGACTCTCTTAATATCACCTTTTCCTAGCTTGTAGTACTACACATAATACTTTATGTACATTTGCCTTTGTTGTCACTGTCAATGTATTTTGAAAATTATTACCTCTCATGTTTTGTAATGTTTTTTTTTTAATCAGACATCCATCCAACTTTTGTTATGAAGTTTTCAGCAATCTGTTTATCATCTCAGGTACAAAATTGCATTACCAGACAAAAGTGGATCAAACCCTCATTTCAAATCCTTTTAAACTCTTCGATAAGCTTTTCCAGCACTGAGGGACCACTCCAACTGATCCCAACTTACAGTAAGATTGTCCTGGTTAGTCTGATAGGCTTTAAGAGGATTTGAAACAGGTATGTGACTCCTGTGATTTGGGTTCGTCTGCGTTCTGGTATCTATTAGTGGAGAATGGTTGTAAATTTTGCCTCTAAAAGTTCTGTCACCAAGGCTTAGACCTTGTTTCCATTAAATAAAAATGTAAAACTCCACATCTGTATTGTTCAGCTCACATGTGACATGTAAATGGGTTTCATCAAATCGTAGCCCTGATCCAAGGTCGTCATTCTTTGGATGGGTCCTGGATAACCATCTCCTGTAAGCCTGACGTATCGGTAACTGAGTGGCTCATAAAATTCACTATTGGAATAACGTTAAACATACAAACTCACTGGGTGTTAAGGCAGTCTCTCTTTGGGTCTTATAATAGCATTTACAACAGCTTAATTAGTAAAAATAAATAAATAAAATCAAGATATTTCAATCTATTCAACACAATTACCCGTACAAATCTTTCACATTGCATTTATCTTTGGAGAACATGAATTTCTAACATTGACCAATGCCAAATCATGTCAGGCTTACCTTTAAGGGAACACACAGTCCAAAACAGAGGAAGCTATCATGGCCTATTACAGTCACTCCAGGAAGTTGTGATCTCAACAGTTAACACAAATTCAACCAATTCCCTGTGAATTCTGCACAAGCTTGCAATTTTGTCCAATCACTGCAACTTTTCCACAAATGATTAACTATAGCAGTCCCCTGTGCAAAGCTATAAGTCACTACTACCAATTTTATTATAACTGGAACAAGTTGCCTTCAAAATTTTGCCTTTTTGAATTTTCACTTTGAAACGAAATTTGTGTGTATCGCAATTTTTAAGAATAGCTTAAGTCAGCCATTTTGACCTTAACAATCCCCCCCCAAAAGCATGCAAAATCCTTGAGGGACTCTCATTACCTGTGTTGCAAGCTTGCCAGATACAGTACCAACTAGCCCTGCGAGCAGTCAGTACGCCACTCAGCCTCTAGCACCACCTATTTCATTTCACTTGTTAGCTACTGCTATAACATCTCTAATTTTGACTAAATAGAACGAGCTAACCATTTAATATATCGAATTAAACCCACATAAGGTCATATGTTGCTCATATATATCTCTATGATAAAAATAATATAAAAGTTGTTCAACAGGCTTAAACCTACAGGCTATAGTCTTGGTAAAGAACTTTGTACATGAAGCTGTGGTTAACTGTCTTACATTGATTGATTTATTTTTAGTAACTTGGAAAGCAGATGGTGTATTTTAACAAGTTTGAGTCATTGATAAGATTCTGGTGAATTAATGTAGAGATTGGAGTTTATTATTATTTTTGGTCTGATACAGAACTTGGAACCTGGAAGATACAACTGCTGATTTTCTTTACCAAAACCCAAACTGTTCTTCTGATGAACTGTGTTGTAAAATATCAACTATTATAATATTTCTCGATGCTTGTTTTCACCACCAATATCGGGGTTATTTGTGAAAACTCCTCAACTATGACGCATCATATAGGCTACACTACATTTAAAATTCATCTTTACATTTTATATCTTTGATTTTTACTGATGTTGTTTCAGGTTACAATGGACTCATTTCATTTTTCATCAACTATTGTCTCTGTATTGAACTCATTTTGTCCTTCAGCTCGCAGCTATGTCAAAGACAAAGAGGCACACTTTATGACCAACGCATACATATTGAAACAACCTGTGTCTCTGTTTGCTACTGTTCAGGTGACCAGTTATTCTGCTATTTGTTTTGTCTTGAGATGATTGATTAAAAATGTCCTACAATTATCTCTGTTTCATTTTTGATTTAGTTGTTGACGTAATTTGGTAAGTGGAATATTCACTACTGAAAGGATTTTAAACAGAATTGCCCCATTAAAGGTCTAGTGTGTAACATGTAGGAGGATCTATTAATCTATCTAAAATGGAATATGATATGCATAACTATGTTTGTATTAGTGTATAAGTACCTGAATATAAGAATCGTTGTTTGTTGTTACCTGCAGGTCGCAATTCATGGAGTCCACCATGTTTAATTGCCATGTTTCTACAGTAGCCCAGAAGGGACAAACCAAACACTGGCTGTAGATAGGGTCATTCACGTTTTTGAATTTTGTGGCCACCGTAGTTTTTCCTTTGCGCTTGAAAGGGGAAAGGGGTTTTGCTATGCAATGACAGCTATTACTGCTAGCCATGGGTGCACCTGGGTATGTTTTAAAGTCAGGGGGCAAACAAAAATACATGATTGGGGGTGTCTGAGTCTCTGATTCGGCTCCTTCGTTAATGCTCCTTCTCCACAACCGAATCCTGTCCAATCAGCGTGCTGACGTTAGGGGGGCAGGCTCGTAAAGTTGACTAATGCTGAGTTGCTAATCGCTTCATTTTGGCAACAGTGCTCTTCTATTCAGCTTCTTTAAAGTTTGGCTGGAGTCATTGGGCCAATGTTCTTCAATCCATGATCGCAGTTAAGCTTTGGCATGTTTCTCACCTTGTAAACACACTATGGGTGTGTTTTGGTTTCCTTTTGAAATAGTAGTTTATATTGTTTGAGTAATATCATTTCACACCACAAATTTTACTGTTACTGAAACTTTAACCTATTTTGAGTTTACGGTCTTTTACTGTCATGGTTCTACAGTTTTTCATTGTAAAATCTACAGAAATGTTTTACAGTGTGCCTGAACTGAATGCTAATGTCAGCAATGTCAGTATGTTGACAATTAAGCATTTCAATATGCTAAATATTACAAACTTAACTGTATGAATAACATATGCACATTATGATTATGATTATAGCAGTAAGACATCAAAAGACAGCTAAGCCTGACAGAAAATAGACACACATTTTTATAATCAACCTTTATGTCAGTTGTTGAGCCAAAAAATGCACACTTAGTGTTTCCAAATGTTTTCCGTTTTTTCCGTTTTACATCCTTATTGACTGTCTTCGGGTTTTGGTAAACTGCTGAAGGGACAAGACATTTGAAGAAATCACTTCTGGTTCTGGGAAATTGCGATTGTCATTTTTACTCATTTTGTGGCCTTTTAAATTCAATCAATATTACGAAGGCAGTATAAAAAAACCTTTTTCATTAGACGTGGCCCTACTTGGGTTTTGAGTTAATAAAGTATTTACTAAGTGCTTCAAATGGTCCCTGTTCATGGAAGACAAGATAAATGGATGGAGAGACAGAGTGATTCTTTGCAGGAGAAAGTCACTGGGTACATACTCCATGTCTACCGCAGTAAACAAAGCCCAACCCCTTTTTAACTGGCAGGTCTCATAAATCAAATTACATTAATTTATATAATGCTTTATACAAAACAAGCTTGATGGAAGACAGAGAAAGGACACAAAGTTAGCGTAGGTGAAAAGAAGGAGGCGCACTTCCAGACATTTGCAACACGATGTCTCTCTCTCTCTCTCGATCAAACGTCCACCCTCTGTTCACGAGGGGATAAAATTAGAAATGAGACGGGGCTTTACATCCCATTCGTTTCCATGGATATGAATGCAAGTTCTTGCCCCCCTGTGACCCAACTCAAAGTCTGAATGGTTCTCAACATTGGCAGATAATGCAAGATGTGTTCAGGGTCTGCTGCTTCACTCAACAGAGATAGATGGTCGATACACACAGTAAAGCTTTGCCTTCACCTGAGCATTAGCACTGTAGATGTTGTATTCACATGAAACCCTCACCTGAGGACTTTATAAGTGGTCCTTTCTTAGCTGGAAGAAAACCAACCGTCTAACGCTGCATTCACATGGATTCAGGCTAAACAGATATCATGTTAGTAGAGGAGAGCAGGGCAGATATATAAGGTGATGCTGTCCTCCATGACTGTATTTAAAACCAGATGTTACGTAGCTCCCTCCTCCAGTTTATAGTGAAACCATTAAAGGATCCGTCAAAAAAAGGCGCTGCATAACAACCTGTTGAATATGACACGCCCACTTTGGTTCCCACTTCTGTTCAAGATTCGGGGAACCTTGGTGCTATCTAGTAAAGCAGCCCATGTTTCCACTGGTTTTGAGTGGAACCAGTATTTTGTTTTTGGAGCAAAGGGCTGCAGGTCTGCTTTGTACATGGGGTGTCAGCTCTACCAGGTGAGCTATCTGGGCACCCCTTGAACCATTGTAATAAAGGATACTCATCAACAGAGGGCGCTGCACAATGCACAAAGACCTGTAGAATTTGACACGCCCAGTTTGGTTCCCAAGGAAAACCTTTTTATTACATTTTTTTGGTTCTAGCTGGAGACTAACTTTTCAGGTTTCAAACCAATTTAGTTTTGGTCGAAAAGCTCCAAACTGTTTAAAACTGGGTGCTGGGTCCCTGTTGGTGGAAGAGGCCTATTTGTGGCTTCGATGAACGGTGGATTTGGACAGCCTATGGCGCTAAAGGACTCATAAGGTCTGGATGCAAGGACCACTGGGGATTTTCAAAATAAAATGAACATCCTCTGACTGTCCAGCTGTCATTATCCAGATGATATTTGATACTCATCTAGGTTTCAGTTACAGCAATATGCTTTACAAACAGCAGCACGTGCTTTAAAGGACCAGTGTATAGGATGTAGTGGTATCTAGTTACAGATTGCAACCAACTCAATACCGCTGCCGTTTGTATTTGATGACCTGGGAAGGAGAACAGGAAAAAAGGCTCTATCTAGAGCCAGTGTTTTGTCTGTCTGTTCTGGGCTACTGTAGAAACGTGGCGGTTCAACATGGTGGACTCAACGAAATGATTCTTATATTCAGGTTATTAAACACTAATGAAAACATACCAATGAATATTATATTATATTTCTGACAATAGATCCTCCTCAGTGTTACACCCTGGACCTTTAACAACTGTTTCAGCTTTGGTTTTGCTCAGCATCTCATCTGCTGGTTTTATTTGGTGTGGAAAAAAGTCTCTAAAATCTTTAATATTCTCGTAAAAATGCTGGAATCTAACACCAAGCTTTTTTGTTTTCTTATGTTGTTATGACAACTTCCTTATCTGGGATTTGGATTTTGCCTCTCTTTGTAAGAACATATCTAGCAGCTCTGGTAGCAGGGGGAGGCCAACATTAGTTCAGCGTCAGTGATCCAATCAACAACTGAGGGGATTAAGTGTGGTACGGTGGGAGCCAGAATGTTCAATCAGAAATGAATCACCAAGGAAGTGGGTGGGCTTGGAGCAGAGCTTTCGTCCATCCATCAGCTCCAAACCTCTCGAACCAAAACCGCAACTGCTTTCCGGTCTTCATGCGACTTTTGTTTCCAGGCCACGGTTCACCGGGAGCTGGGCAGTGTGAACCTAAACGAACCACATACAAACATACAACAAAGTGCTTCACTACGGTTCGGACCAAAGCAAACACTGGCACCCAGCAGACAGGCATACCAGAGTCATAATACGAGAGGCTTAATGAAAGGCCAGAGACCGTCAGACTGTTTTAGTCTTTGTTGTGTCTCTCAGGTCACAGGTTCACTCCAGCACGAGCCAAACCAAACAGATTGAAGTTCTCAGTTTTGGGCCGTAAACTCTCTAAACTGTAACAGACGACCTCTCTGCTCCAAGCCCACCCACTCTCTGGGAAATGCAATTCTGTTCGATTTGTAGTTCTTGTTACGTCTTCATTTTGTTTATTGTGAATATGTTTTGGCTTGTATGTCTGACTGCAAACTCAATTGGAGGGCTGGTGGTTTTAACTTGACCTCAAAAATATCCTGAGTGGAACTTTTAAATCCTGTGTCACCCAAAGTCCACGTCCGTCTGGCTCCGAGTGTGCTTTACCTGATCAAAACTCAATTATGGTCTTCAGTTGATGTCGTTATGAGATTGGCACTGTGAGTATATCTTCCATCGTTTTTGTTTGAATGCAAAGAGTATTTCTAGGAATCTTACCTACCAACTTATTAAGTTCTCTATTTTTATGAGCATTTGTTATTTATCTTTGAATGAATACATAAACTAATGCATTAGTTGCAGGTGCTGCCAGTGTAGCAGTTAAACAGAGTAGACGTTTCTGCTTCAACTTAAAATATGTAAGTACATTTCTTGTCATTTTTTATTTTATTTTATTGAAACATGTCAAGACATTCACTGCATCACTGTTAGTCTATACACAATGTGTAGACATTATATGCACACACGCATAGCCAGAGAAAATATATTAGACTATATGAGACAAAAGTCATTTCACTCCCTTTTTGTTTTTATCCTGTGAACTAAAAGCAGTACTTTACGTCTTTATCCAAACTTCAGAACTGTGTCCTTACCCTGCATGTGGACGGATTATTCTCAGATGTGTCTCCTCATGTTTCAGATTAAACATCCAGTCCAACCTCTGTCCCTGTTTCAGATTAAACATCCAGTCCAACCTCTGTCCCTGTTTCAGATTAAACATCCAGTCCAACCTCTGTCCCTGTTTCAGATTAAACATCCAGTCCAACCTCTGTCCCTGTTTCAGATTAAACATCCAGTCCAACCTCTGTCCATGTTTCAGATTACACATCCAGTCCAACCTCTGTCCATGTTTCAGATTAAACATCCAGTCCAACCTCTGTCCCTGTTTCAGATTAAACATCCAGTCCAACCTCTGTCCCTGTTTCAGATTAAACATCCAGTCCAACCTCTGTCCCTGTTTCAGATTAAACATCCAGTCCAACCTCTGTCCCTGTTTCAGATTGAACATCCAGTCCAACCTCTGTCCCTGTTTCAGATTAAACATCCAGTCCAACCTCTGTCCCTGTTTCAGATTAAACATCCAGTCCAACCTCTGTCCCTGTTTCAGATTAAACATCCAGTCCAACCTCTGTCCATGTTTCAGATTACACATCCAGTCCAACCTCTGTCCCTGTTTCAGATTAAACATCCAGTCCAACCTCCATGTTTCAGATTAAACATCCAGTCCAACCTCTGTCCATGTTTCAGATTAAACATCCAGTCCAACCTCTGTCCCTGTTTCAGATTAAACATCCAGTCCAACCTCTGTCCCTGTTTCAGATTAAACATCCAGTCCAACCTCCATGTTTCAGATTAAACATCCAGTCCAACCTCTGTCCCTGTTTCAGATTAAACATCCAGTCCAACCTCTGTCCCTGTTTCAGATTAAACATCCAGTCCAACCTCTGTCCCTGTTTCAGATTAAACATCCAGTCCAACCTCTGTCCCTGTTTCAGATTAAACATCCAGTCCAACCTCTCCTCATGTTTCAGATTAAACATCCAGTCCAACCTCCATGTTTCAGATTAAACATCCAGTCCAACCTCTGTCCATGTTTCAGATTAAACATCCAGTCCAACCTCTGTCCCTGTTTCAGATTAAACATCCAGTCCAACCTCCATGTTTCAGATTAAACATCCAGTCCAACCTCTATCCGTTTCAGATTAAACATCCAGTCCAACCTCTCCTCATGTTTCAGATTAAACATCCAGTCCAACCTCCATGTTTCAGATTAAACATCCAGTCCAACCTCTGTCCCTGTTTCAGATTAAACATCCAGTCCAACCTCTGTCCCTGTTTCAGATTAAACATCCAGTCCAACCTCTGTCCCTGTTTCAGATTAAACATCCAGTCCAACCTCTGTCCCTGTTTCAGATTAAACATCCAGTCCAACCTCTGTCATGTTTCAGATTAAACATCCAGTCCAACCTCTGTCCCTGTTTCAGATTAAACATCCAGTCCAACCTCTGTCCCTGTTTCAGATTAAACATCCAGTCCAACCTCTGTCCCTGTTTCAGATTAAACATCCAGTCCAACCTCTGTCCCTGTTTCAGATTAAACATCCAGTCCAACCTCTCCTCATGTTTCAGATTAAACATCCAGTCCAACCTCTCCATGTTTCAGATTAAACATCCAGTCCAACATCTGTCCATGTTTCAGATTAAACATCCAGTCCAACCTCTGTCCCTGTTTCAGATTAAACATCCAGTCCAACCTCCATGTTTCAGATTAAACATCCAGTCCAACCTCTATGTTTCAGATTAAACATCCAGTCCAACCTCTCCTCATGTTTCAGATTAAACATCCAGTCCAACCTCCATGTTTCAGATTAAACATCCAGTCCAACCTCTGTCCCTGTTTCAGATTAAACACACCAACCTTGTTAGATTAAACATCCAGTCCAACCTCTGTCCCTGTTTCAGATTAAACATCCAGTCCAACCTCTGTCCCTGTTTCAGATTAAACATCCAGTCCAACCTCTGTCCCTGTTTCAGATTAAACATCCAGTCCAACCTCTCCCCATGTTTCAGATTAAACATCCAGTCCAACCTCCATGTTTCAGATTAAACATCCAGTCCAACCTCTGTCCATGTTTCAGATTAAACATCCAGTCCAACCTCTGTCCCTGTTTCAGATTAAACATCCAGTCCAACCTCTGTCCATGTTTCAGATTAAACATCCAGTCCAACCTCTATGTTTCAGATTAAACATCCAGTCCAACCTCTGTCCCTGTTTCAGATTAAACATCCAGTCCAACCTCTGTCCCTGTCCCTGTTTCAGATTAAACATCACCAGTCCAACCTCTGTCCCTGTTTCAGATTAAACATCCAGTCCAACCTCTCCTCATGTTTCAGATTAAACATCCAGTCCAACCTCCATGTTTCAGATTAAACATCCAGTCCAACCTCTGTCCATGTTTCAGATTAAACATCCAGTCCAACCTCTGTCCCTGTTTCAGATTAAACATCCAGTCCAACCTCCATGTTTCAGATTAAACATCCAGTCCAACCTCTGTCCATGTTTCAGATTAAACATCCAGTCCAACCTCCATGTTTCAGATTAAACATCCAGTCCAACCTCTGTCCCTGTTTCAGATTAAACATCCAGTCCAACCTCCCTGTTTCAGATTAAACATCCAGTCCAACCTCTGTCCCTGTTTCTGGATGAAATCAACTCCAGGAGGGGCACCGCACCGCAACCGCCGGTGACGTCATCCGTCCCGTGTAGGCGGCCGCTCCTATTGGACGCAGACGCGGAAGTGAGGGGAGGACGCGCTAACAACAACAACAGAGTGTCAGTGAGGAACTTCTGGTCTCGGAATCGTCTTCAGCAGTCTTCAGCAGTCTTCAGCAGTCATGGCTCTACCGCCTCAGCTCAGAGCCATCCAGCACCACCTGCGGACCGCACAGGAGCACGAGAAGCGGGACCCGGTCGTCTCTTACTACTGTGAGTTGGTGTGTTGGGCTAATGCTAGCCTGTTAGCATCCCGGCATTGTTTACCTGAGCCGTCAGTGTGTTAGCCTAGCGTTAGCTCGTGATAAACTAGTGAAGGTCTGTGTGAAGTGGGGTTGATGAACTGGTCACAGATAACGGCTGTACGTCGTTAACGAGCCCCGGGCTGTCTGTCGGTCTGTCTGTCTGTCGGTCTGTCTGTCTGTCTGTCTGTCTGTCTGTCGGTACCGTAAAGGAGCTAATGTTAGCATTGACAGCTCAAACTTCATTAGCCGGCTATCTCTTCCTGAATGACGTCACAACTGAAGCTCTCTGGGATCCTCGACCTGTCTGTCTGTCTGTCTGTCTGTCTGACTGCTGTCTGACTGTCTGTCTGTCTGCTGTCTGTCTGTCTGTCTGCTGTCTGTCTGACTGTCTGTCTGACTGTCTGTCTGTCTGTCTGTCTCTCTGTCTTACTGCTGTCTGTCTGTCTGTCTGACTGCTGTCTGTCTGTCTGTCTGTCTGTCTGTCTGTCTGTCTGCTGTCTGTCTGTCTGTCTGTCTGTCTGCTGTCTGTCTGTCTGCTGTCTTGTCTGTCTGTCTGTCTGTCTGACTGTCTGTCTGTCTGTCTGTCTGACTGTCTGTCTGTCTGTCTGTCTGTCTGCTGTTTGTCTGCTGTCTGTCTGTCTGCTGTCTGTCTGTCTGTCTGTCTGTCTGTCTGTCTGTCTGTCTGCTGTCTGTCTGACTGCTGTCTGACTCACTGAGGTCCACAGTCAGCAGGACTGGGATCAGGGTTTGGATCAGGACTGGGATCAGGACTGGGATCAGGGTTTGGATCAGGGCTGGGATCAGGACTGGGTTCAGGGTTTGGATCAGGGTTTGGATCCGGGTTTGGATCAGGACTGGGTTCAGGGTTTGGATCAGGGTTTGGATCAGGACTGGGATCAGGACTGGGTTCAGGGTTTGGATCAGGGTTTGGATCAGGACTGGGATCAGGGTTTGGATCAGGCTGGGATCAGGGTTTGGATCAGGACTGGGATCAGGACTGGGATCAGGGTTTGGATCAGGGCTGGGATCAGGGTTTGGATCAGGACTGGGATCAGGACTGGGATCAGGGTTTGGATCAGGACTGGGATCAGGACTGGGATCAGGGCTGGGATCAGGGTTTGGATCAGGACTGGGATCAGGACTGGGATCAGGGTTTGGATCAGGACTGGGATCAGGACTGGGATCAGGACTGGGATCAGGGTTTGGATCAGGGCTGTGATCAGGGTTTGGATCAGGACTGGGATCAGGACTGGGATCAGGGTTTGGATCAGGACTGGGATCAGGACTGGGATCAGGGTTTGGATCAGGGTTTGGATCAGGACTGGGATCAGGACTGGGATCAGGGTTTGGATCAGGGCTGGGATCAGGGCTGGGATCAGGACTGGGTTCAGGGCTGGGATCAGGGTTTGGATCAGGACTGGGATCAGGACTGGGATCAGGGTTTGGATCAGGGTTTGGATCAGGGTTTGGATCAGGGCTGGGATCAGGGTTTGGATCAGGACTAGGATCAGGGCTGGGATCAGGGTTTGGATCAGGACTAGGATCAGGGTTTGGATCAGGGCTGGGATCAGGGTTTGGATCAGGACTAGGATCAGGGTTTGGATCAGGGCTGGGATCAGGGTTTGGATCAGGACTAGGATCAGGGTTTGGATCAGGACTAGGATCAGGACTGGGATCAGGGTTTGGATCAGGACTGGGATCAGGACTGGGTTCAGGGTTTGGATCAGGACTGGGATCAGGACTGGGATCAGGGTTTGGATCAGGACTAGGATCAGGGTTTGGATCAGGGCTGGGATCAGGGTTTGGATCAGGACTAGGATCAGGGTTTGGATCAGGACTGGGATCAGGACTGGGTTCAGGGTTTGGATCAGGACTGGGATCAGGGCTGGGATCAGGGTTTGGATCAGGACTGGGATCAGGACTGGGATCAGGGTTTGGATCAGGGCTGGGATCAGGACTGGGTTCAGGACTAGGATCAGGGCTGGGATCAGGGTTTGGATCAGGACTAGGATCAGGGTTTGGATCAGGGTTCACGATATGGTAATCATGATTTTGGGGGTCTGTAGTTTTCTTAACTTCTTTAAACCGTGCATCCAGTAACAGCAGGAATAAACTGGAACCATTTGGGAGTAGGTGCTGTCCTGTAATGTGAAGAAAACTGTTGTTAATAAGAGCGGGAACCCTGAAAGAAGACGGAAACAGAAAGAATAACTGACGTACTTTCAGTATCTGTAATCGATTACATTCACCTCTCTTTGTATCCTGATTATATAACTCAGCAGACAGTCAGAGCCAGAATGCGTGAGATAAAGTCCTGGTCCAGCTAGTTTCTCATTGTGTCATGAGTCTGGCTCAGCTCTAAAGAATGAGCTGCACCCTGCTGCCCTCAGTGGAGCACGGAGTTGGTGTAATACACACTAACTGTAGATAGTTAAAGGTGCAGTGTGTAACACTCTGTTGTCAGAAATATAATATAATACGATATAATATAATATATAATATGATATAATATAATATATAATGTGAATAATATAATATAATATAATATATATATATAATATAATATATAATATAATATATATATATATAATATAATATAATATAATATAATATAAACAATATAATATAATATATAATATAATATATAATATAATATATAATATAATATAATATAATATAATATATAATATAATATATAATATAATACAATATAATATAATATAATATACAATATAATATATAATATAATATAATATAATATAATATCCAGAGGTATGTTTTCATTAGTGTATAATCACCTGAATCTGAGAATTGTTCATGTTGAATCTCCATGTTTCTACAGTACTACAGTGTGTGTGTGTGTGTGTGTGTGTGTGTGTGTGTGTGTGTGTGACAGTGTGTGTGTCAGTGTGTGTGTGTCAGTGTGTGTGTGTGTGTGTGTCAGTGTGTGTGTCTACCTCCCTTTGTTGTTCTGTGTTTCCATCCCTGGAACAGTGGGATTGATCAGAATCAGAAATACTTTATTGATCCCCGGGGTGAAATTAGTTTTGTTACAGTTCCTGAAGGTGCTGACAAAACATTAAAGAACTATATTATATTATATTCCAATATTTAACAACAGTGTATATAAACATAAGGAGTCTGAAGTATGTACATTATAATACAATATATAGAAGGTAGAAATATATGTCTGCAGCAGTATATAACAGACGAATAATGATTAAATAGTAATAACAGCTGAATCCTTTAAAACCAAAAAGGTATTGGTACCAAAATATAATAAGAGGATTACACATGAATCAGAGTAAATACGGTGGAGTAGAGTTGGACTCTGTCTTTAATGTCAATGTCAAATAACAGGTGAGGAGCCTGATGTAGCTTCTACCTGTACAGCTCCATGAATGAATGACATGTTCCCTCGTTCCACACACACACACACACACACACACACACACACACACACACACACACACTAGTTTATCTGAGCTCAACCCCACACACACACCCTCCTGCCCGACAGTAAACACACCAGTGCCCAGCTGCTGTAAGTGTCTTTTATTATCTCTGAGCGTGAACCAAGGCATGCATGTTCCCCAGATGTGCACTCCTGTTTAACCCTTTCATTCAGGTTCCCCTCGGTACAACCCTCGGTAACTGACCTGCTGCGTGTGTGTTCACTGTCAGCGTTCCTGGGATTGAAGCCTGTGTTGTGTACAAAGATGTTTCCACCCTTACTTTGAGTGACGTTCCACCGGGCCTAAAAGCAGCTGAGAAGCTCAGAGACACAGAGACGATGTGATTTTAATGGATCAGGCAAGAGAGCAGAGCCCAGTTACATCACCCGCTCCCCGTCAGCACTTCCTGCTGGTTCCCCCTCGCCCCGGGCATGAAAACCTCCTCCCCCCGGTGGTCCACAGCTCCTCTGCTAGCGGTGTAAATATGCCAACACTGCTGTGGTGCTTTCAGTGCTCAGTCAGCGCAGCACAGGCTAGGCTAACTGGCTTATGAATGAATTTCAAGCTGTTATTTCCTGGTGGAAAAATGACATAATGGGGCTTTAATGAAATATAACAGCATCCGTCAGTGCGACTATTGTTTGTCTGTCTGTTGCCGTACTAAATGTATCGCAGGGCGGGACGTGTCATCATCTAGGTGGCTTATCTCCTCCGCTAAACAATTTCCTAAGCACAACCCCTCGGCTACGGAATAATAAAATACAAATATATAAAATAAATCACAGATTGTATCCAAACATTACAGTTGTTCAGCTTTATTGTGGCTGTAAATTACAGCATCCCTCCATGCTACACACATTGAAATCATATTAATAAGACCAGGAATATCATTTACAGCTGTATTACCTAGCACTAGTTAGGAAACAGGGTAACTGCTGTGTGGGGCTTTCTGTATGTTTGTCATTAGAAACATCTGCGTCACATTTTATTGGAGATGTGGCAGCTCTGTGTGAGAGGCAGCGTCTGAACAACCCAAGATCCTGGCTGAAATATGAAGCTGAAAAGGTCAGAACGGCTCAAACCCTGAGCTAAGATATGTTTAGCTGGTTAATGTCTTCAGTTTTGAGATGAGTGAATAAAGTACATTTTTGGACCTTGTATGCAGTTAAAATCATGATAAAATGTTTTGTTCCATCAAG